GCCTAGACCCTTCTTCTGAAGAAGGGTCTAGGCCCGAAACGTCAGCCTTCCTGCTCCTCTGATGCTGCTTGGCCTGCTGTGTTCATCCAGCTCTACACCTTGTTATCTCAGATTCTCCAGCATCTGCAGTTCCTACTATCTCTGAAACTAGTTAATTCTGGTTTGCTTGCATGCAATAGAAGTGATGAGTTTCCTTTTTATCGTATGCAGTGGGACTGGTTTAAAACATTTTGCTCTTTTTAGTGAGGCACGTTGGTGCTGGTGTTGCAATACTTTTTGTAATGGGTTTGTTTAATTTCTGTCAAAAGATCTAGATCTGAAACTTATCTTGACTCTTTGAAAATGCTGATGGTCGTACTGAGTATTTTCCAACCATTGGTTTTAATCATAAACCTAAAACTTTGGGTCATTCATGAAAATTGCTGTAATAAAAAAAAGTACTGTTTTATTGGCTTGCTTGATGCGGTGACACAGTGCACTGGTGCTTTGTCTGTATTAAGCCTAGTTTACATCTATGATTCCTCACAAGATATATTAATTACAAGTAATTTGGTGTACATGTAGAAAGAAATCGATGATATAAGGTGATAAGAAGATTTGGACCTCTGGTTGCTATTTGCCCAAATGCTATTTGTATAATCTTTCACCTCACCAGCTTTACATAACTTTGTGTTTTAAGTCCAATAGCTTTATTTGTCAACTACTAACTTGTAACAATCTAAACTTGTGGTTTCCTAATTTGAAATCTGGAATGTGCTCAGTGACCCTTTCAGCTACCCGACTGCTCTTTACATCATGCATTTTCCCATTTTCTCTGCTTCCATTGTATCTATTCCAATGATATGACCTTCTATATTAGCACACCAATTTCTTAACCTGACACAGTGGTTGACAGGGCACTCAACTGTGAGCATTCCTGTCACACCTTTCTGCTCTCAACTTCCCCCTTCCATACAAAACCCCATGATCGATTTTCCACTGCCCTCGCCTCTACCCATCAGCCTCTGCATTTTTCTGATCATCCTACGACATTTCTTCCAGCTTGTATGTTGTCACCAATGAACACATCTTCTCTCTCCTTTTTAGCATTCCAAGGAGATTGTTGTCTGAGATATCCTGTATCACACTTCGTCACCTTCAACACTCCCATCCCTTTACATGACTCTTTTCTGTACAAGCACAGAAGGTGCTGTTCTGGAGTATTATGTCCAGTTCTGGTTACCCAGTTGTAGGAAGGATATTATTAAGCTGGAGAAGGTTCAGAAGAGATTTACCAGCATGTTGTCAGGTATGGATGGTTTGAGTTATAAAGAAAGGCTGGATAAGCTGGGACTTTTATCACTGGAGTGAGAGAGTTTGAGAGGTGACATTATAGAAGTTTATAAAATAATGAGTTTGTTTACACAGAGGATGGTTTGCATGTGGAATGAATTTCCTGAGGAAGTGGTGGATGTTGCTACAATCACAGTGTTCAAAAGACATTCGGATAAGTACTTGAATAGGAAAGGTTTGGAGGGATACGGGCCAGGCACAGACAGGTGGGACTAGTTCAATTTGGGATTATGTTCGGCATAGACTGGTTGGACCAAAGGGTCTGTTTTCATTCTGTATGATTCCATGACCTGTCCATTTGTTGACTGGCTTCTCACAGCCCAAGACCCCAAGCACAATTTTCTGTTGAAACATCGATGTAGTTGCATTTTTATTTGGTACTGCATTTGCTGCTCATTAAGTAGTCTAGTGTGAGATGAGGTGACTGCTTTACAGCACATCTCTGTTCAATTTGCAAGAGGGACCAGAGTTTCTAGTTAGCTTCTTGTTGCAACTCTCCACTTGCTTCTACTCTAAACTCTGGGACAATCACAACAATGAAATGCAAGGCAAACTTAAGGAATAGCATCCCATCTTGTGACTGGGCACTCAACAGCTGTTTGGTGTCAACATTGAGTTCAGCAACCTTGTTGTAACTGTTGCCCTGATTTTGTTTCCTTTGCAGGTTTGTTTTTTTTTCTCTGTTTCTGTCTCTTTCTTACTTTGCTTCTCAAAGTAGCTATTCATGATCCATTATTTGAGTGTGCGTGCATGTTCATTTTTACTTGTCTCATTGGCTACTCCCTTTAGCTATACTTTCTGTTATCATTGGAATTTCTTCTGCTCGCCATCAAATGAGAGACGCTCCTTTGTTCTTTTCCTGCTCTTGCCTTCTGCTTGAAACCTATCAGACTTGCTCGTTGTGACAAAAAGTGCAGACCTGAAGCATTCACTTTGCTTTTTTTTTTGCACAAATATCACCCAACTTGCTGAGTAGTTGAAGTGTTTTCTGTTTTTATTTGTATTCCATTTTTCAGTAATCTGATGGATAGATCACTTGTTAAATTTATGACACCTTTCTCTAAGCATTTTTTTTTATCCTAATGATCCTAATTCAATTTTATAGCTTCGGAATGTGGTATAGCCACTACATTTTACAGGATGGTAAGAGTATAGCATTTGACCTTGTTTCAAGAACTGGTAGTTAGATGTAATAAAAGATGAATAAGCCGCAAGTTTGAAATTTTACCTTTGGAAAGGGAAAATGAGTAAAAATATTAAAAGCTTGACTTTCTGCCATTTCGTTATAATTTTGATGCTCAAATGTAGTTGCTTTTTTTTATATTTATAGATGTATTTTCACATATTATAACCTCCAGAATATGAATTTGCTGCATACCAATAGATTAGCGTATATATAGTGTGTGTATGTATGCATGCACATGATACAGGATTAAGAATGAATCTTTGTCATGAAAATTGAATTATATACTAGTCATGCAGTTTGTGAACTTTTGTTTTTATTAAAGCTCGTAGGAGGACAGTTTGACTTGGAGATGAATTTCATCATCCAAGATGTGGAAAGCATTGCTTGCATGGTGAAGCTTTTGGACAACTGTGATGTGACCTGCCAAGCTGAAGTTTGGAGCATTTTCACAGCAATTCTGAAAAAAAGTATTCGTAATCTACAGGCCTGCACAGATGCTGGATTGATTGAACATGTTCTTAAAAGAATTCATGGCGTTAACAATATGATAGCAGGTAGGGGATTAATTTTCTTTTTGGGAGTGTCTTATCTCTGAGTATAGCCTATTCAGCTGATGTGAGAATGTAATACTGTAAGATTTCAAATAATACAGTTGGCTTGATCAAAAATTGTTTGCTTTTTATTTTTTATGAAGTTGCAGTGGGCCGACTGAACAGATCCATATTGCATAAATCACGTTTTTCAGGAGGATGATTATTTTAACACCTATATGAGCCGGTTGAATAACAGCGCTAGCAAATCTGCATGCCTGAATTGTCCATCTTAGGAATTGCATTTGGTTTAGGGAATGAGAACTCGAACACACAAAATGCCATGGCTTGAAAATAGGAGGTACGAACGTGCCCCCCTGTATGGGCTTAAACCCAAAGGCATGTGCCTTAGTAACAGTATATTCATTCCAACAAGGATGTGTTCTTTGAATAAACAAAAACAAAGTTTGCTGGAGAAACTCTGCAGGTCTGTGGTAATTGTGGAGAGAAAACCGTTCACGTTTTAAGTCCAGTGACCATTTGAATTTTTTTAATATTTGACTTAGGTTTCAGTCCCTTAAATTACGTAGTATTTTCAAGTATTCTCAGTTTCCATGGTCAGTTTTTAAAAATAACAAGTCTAATTCACTTTTACCACTTTTTAATCCTAGGAATTAACGTTGGTAATGATTTGACATTTTTCCAGTACAGTTGCAACACAACTACTATCCGTTAACATGTATGTAAAGATAAACGCAAGTGATTGATAATAGCAGGAAACATGGATCTAGAATATGCTACCAGCGTCCTAACATGTAACAAAACATCCTACTGATCATTGTTTCAAATGCCTTCCTGGTATTGTCTTTTCTGTCTGTTGCTGTCCTCCCCCACACTCCCCAATGACTCCATAGCGGTTCAAAAAGACAGTTCACTATGACCTTCTCCAGGGCAAATGGTATGGGCAATAAATGCTTGCCGAGCCATTGATACCCACGTTCCCTGAGGGAATAAAAAAAAATCTGGCCTCTTGAGCATTCCTGATTTTAATTGCTCCATCTTGGCCATACCATCCACTGTTAATGCCCTAAACTCCAGTATTCCCAACATTTCCCGCCCCCCCACCGCCTCGCCCTGCAAAAAAAAACTGTTCTATCTCTCTCTATCTTAATCATTTGAGATACCCCTTAAACCTGCTGTTTGTGACTAAATGTTTGGACATGTGGCCCAATTTCATCACTGGCTGGCTAGCATTTTATTGCTTGTCCCTGGTTGCCCTTGAGAAGGTGGCAGTGATCTGCCTTGTTGAACTGCTGCAGCGAGGGAATTGCTGAATGTTGATCTAGTGACAGCGAAAGAATCAAGATGATCAGATTGGAGTGAGCTTGCAGGTGGTGGTATTCCCATATATTTGCTGCCCTTCTAGATGAAAGTGATCTTGGGTTTGGAAGGTGCTGTTTAACAAGCTTTGGTGAATTGCTGCAGTATATCTTGTAGATAGTACACATGCTGCTACTGGACATTGATGACAGAAGTAGTGAAAGCTTGTGGATGTGGTGGCAATTAAGGGGGCTGCTTGGTCCTGGATGGTGTCAAGCTTTGAGTGTTGTTGGCGCTGCACCCATCCAGGCAAGTGGGGAGTATTTCATCCCACTCCTGACCTGTGCCTTGTAGATAACGGACAGGCTTTGGGGAGTCGGGTGAGTTACCAGCTGTAGTATTCCTAGCCACTGTGTTTATGTGCTGAGTCAATCCTGGATGGATTGAGTTTTTCGAAGAGGTGACAAAGAAGATTGAAGGCAGAACAGTAGATATTGTCTACATGGTCTTCAGCAAAGCGTTTGATGGAGTTCTGCACGGTAGACTGTTTAGCAAGATTAGATCACATAGAATCCGGGGAGGGCTAGCCAATTGGATACAAAATTGGCTTGAAGGTAGGAGCCAGAGGTGGTGGTAAAGGGTTACTTTTGGAACTGGAGACCTGTGACCAGTGGTGTGCCACTAGGATCAGTATTGGGTCCACTGCTTTTTTTTTGTCATTTACATGAATGTTTTGAATATGAATTTAGGAGGAATGGTTAATAAGTTTGCCAATGACACCAAAATAGGTGGTGCGGTGGAGAGTGATGATGATTATCTTAGAATACAACTGGACTTTGAGCAGATGGGCCAATGGGTTGAGGAGTGTCAGATGGAGTTTAATTTAGATAAATGTGAAGTGTTGCATTTTTGGTAAGGCAAACCAGAGCAAGGACTTGTATTGTGAATGATAGGGCCCTGGGAAGTGTTGCCAAACAAAGAGACCTCGGGGTACAGGGGCATAGTTTCTTCAAAGTGGAGTTGCAGGTAGACACGGTGGTGAAGATGGTGTTTGGTATGCTTGCCTTCATTAGTTAAAACATTTAGTGAAGGAGTTGGAATGTCACGTTCTGGCTGTACGGGACATTGCTGAGCTCACTTTTAGAATTCTGCATACAATTCTTGTCGCCCTTCTATTGGAAGGATGTTGTTAAACTTGAGAGGGTGCAGAAAAGATTTACAAACATGTTGCCAGGTTTGGAGGGTTTGAGTTATAGGGAGAGGCTGAATAAGCTGGATTTCTTTTTCCCTGGAGTGTCATAGGCTGAGGGTTGATCTGATAGGGTTTTATGAAATTGAGGAACATGGATAGGGTGAATAGCCAAGGACTTTTCCCTAGTTTAGGGAGTCTTAAAACTAGAAGGTTTGGGTTTAAGGTGAGAGGGGAAAGATTCCCAAAGAACCTGAGGGTTAACTTTTTCACGCATAGCATGGTGTGTGCGTGGAGTGAGCTGCCAGAGAAGGTGGTGGGGGGCAGATACAGTTAGAACATTTAAAGGCATCTGGATGGGTACGTGAATAGGAAGGGTTTAGAGGGGTATAGGCCAGATGCTAGCAAATGGGACTAGTTCAGGTTGGGACGTCTGGGTGGCATGGATGAGTTGGACCGAATGGTCGGTTTCTGTGTGGTGTGACTGTATGACTCATCATTGTTACCATCTTAAGAAAAACTCAATCCAGTTCGTGAGACATGATTTCCCATGCAGAAAGCCATGTTGATTATTCCCTAATCAGTCCCTGCCTTGCCAAATGCATGTAAATCCTGCCCTCAAAATTCCCTCCAACAACTTAACCACCACTGACTTAAGACTGGCTGGTCTGTAGTTCCCTGGCTTTTCTTTGCAGCTTTTCTTAAATAATGCATCATGTTATCCAACCTCCAGTCTTCTGGCCTCATCTGTGGCTGTCAATGAAACCAATATCTCAGCAAGGGACCCAGCAAGCTCTTGCCTAGCTTCCCACACAGTTCTGGGAAATATCTGATCCTGGTAATTTATCTACCTTTATGTATTTTAAGACCTCCAGCACCACCTCTTCTGTAATATGGACTCTTTTCAATATGTCACTATTTATTTCCCCAAATTCCCGAGCTTCCATGACCTTCTCCACAGAAATACGGATGCAGAATGCAGGTTTAGCATATTGCGCATCTCTTGTGGTTCCATACATAGATGGTCACATTGATATTGAGTTTCCCCACTTACATTCATGTTATTGGTAGAGATTAAATAATTGCTGATCAATAAGTAATTGAGATTGGAACAGCATAAATGTTTAGTAGGGATAGTTATAGTGAATTTTATAACTCAGCTATATTATGGCTACTGGCACTATTTTAATCCACTTGTAGCTTTTAACACCCAAGTTAGCAGAAATCGGAAGCAGTTAGAGGATTGCTTACGTGGTAAGCATTTGTCTTGTCCTCAGTGCTAATGTATTCTTCCTATTCTCATATGGTAGATGGACTCCGTTCTCACCTCTCAAAAATGTCTGCCCTCAATGACTGCTTCCGTTGTAATTCATTAAAGATCACTGTGTACAGATAAAAAGTGATAATTTGAGTGGCCCCCTGGTGTCATTGTTTCCTCCTCACTTGCTGCTTAGAATATTTCCTATACCCTCTGGATGCCCTAGCCAATCTCTGCAGATCCAGCAATCCACCTTACGGTGAGAAATATTCTCCACTAAGGTCCAGTTTGGATATGGTCTCCAGACTATATTTTGCCCACCCTTATCCAATAGGATATTTGAACTTTTGGGTTGAATACAGCAAATACCCAGCTGGTGTTAATACAGGAGCATAATAAGGCCAAACCTGAAACTCTGGAGAAGACATATTAGGAGAACTGACATGAAGCTTGGTCAAAAGGGTACAAGGAGATTATGATAGTACAGAGGCATGTTTTAAAGGAATATGGTGAAAACATTAACAAGAAATTGCGTTGTTGATAGCCTAGACAATTAAAGCCAATGGTTGGGTGAGGAGAGTTGGAGCTTTGCAAGAGGCAAAAGTTGAAAGAAACCTGGGTGATACCTCAGTTGCGTGTATTTAATTCACTTAATTTGACCAAAGCAACAGTACACCTCAAATGAAAAAGAAAGATAATGACATCTGGATGAAGTAGTTGTTGCTACAGCTTAAATACGTCAATAGTTCGCTACTTGTTCGTAAATCATAAGAAATTAGAATTTTAAAATTAAGCAAATTCCATGGGAATTAGTGAGTATGGTAAGAAAATAATTTCTGTATAAGCCAGACTTAGGCTAAAAAAGAAGAGGGACATCTGTTCATTCGCGTCCTCGTGGATTACCTGAAATATAAGAAAAGCATGCTGTTTGGTAGAATTGACCATGATTACCTTCCACATTTTAATTAATGTTGTCGGAAGACCTGAGGGTTGCACTTTTCTTGGGCAAAAGCACGAACGAGTAATAGCAAATTAGGAACCCATTCTGGACTCGATCTAATTTTCTTGTTTCTCCTTTTAGACTTGTAATTAAAGAATTTTAATATTAAGCATTTGAACTGAAATGCTGCATGTTCTATTCCTTTTTGGCAAATTTACGTAATCACTGTCAGTTTATAGCAAACTTGAAGAGTCTTACCAATCCTGTACAGAAAAGGCGGCATACAAATGAAAATTACGTTGAATTTTTCCCTGGCCTGTCCACAGCTTGTATCATATCAGAGCTGTTTCTTGCAATTCTCTGTTTTGTCTCTGTATTTCCAAACTTTCCTGTGTGATGCTTGTTCAGTAAAGAGTGTTTTATTGAGGACTTTAAGATGGTCTGAAATTAGTGAATGAATTTGATCTGGTTCTGGTCTATGTAAGATTTCTAAGCATTTCACATTGATATCCTTAATTGAGACCCAATGTCACGAATGTTGACATGTCTTGGCAAGTACCTTTTTATGATGTTGCCACTTCATCATATTTGCGCCAAAGGAAACACCTGGCTGTTATAAGTTTTCAAAAATTTCAGTCATCTTAAAGTGATTTGACTCTTAATAGGTGATCCCTACAGATGATGAATCTGTCAAATATATGATCCCTTCATAGTTTCTTTTTAACTTATGTTTTGAATTTGAGTGGTCAATTTATTTTCTTTGACTCACCTATACATTTAATTTCAGATCTGCTTGTTGATATGTTAGGAGTGTTGGCGAGCTACAACATAACAGTCCGTGAGCTGAAACTACTAGTTAGCAAAGTGCAAGGAGAGAAACAACAATGGGTAAGGTTTGTTGTATTTTATAGTTTAAAACATTGTCAAAAGTTGAATTCCTGATTTTGCTGCAGAAAAACAATGACATTTTCTGATAATGGGAATGCATTTAATTGAGCTTGAAATTTTGCTGAAGACGTGGTTTAAAATCGTAATGTAAGGATAGGAAGTAATTTATATAGAGTACTGGTTTGATTCTAATGTCCATTAAGTATCATTTAACGTACATGTTATAATTCTCCGTTGATTAAGATAAAGTACCTTTCTGATAATATTTGTTACTAAGGTTCCTCAATCCATGAGTATAGGTGGAATCGTTTTAAGGAAAATTGACCTTTGAATAATCTTCATTTAAAACTCTGTTCTTTACAGCCTCCACATGCAGTGAAATTATTGACCATACTGAGACAGGTGCCACAAAAACTTAGTCCTGATGCTTTCTTCAGCTTCCCTGGGAAGAGTGCTGCGGTGAGTCTTAGCTCAGTTCTGTGTAAATGTCCTTTATTTTTTTTTTTGAAAAGATTTTATGTCTTTATGTGAAAGCTGTTCATCTATTGGTGATGCAATCTAGCATAAATAAAATGGAAATTGGATGCTACAAAGCTCTGTACTTATTTTATAAGTAAGATAAAAGCATACATTTTTGTTCTGAGAATTATTCAGGTTAGAATTTATATTATGATTTAAAAACTGCTGTTTATAGTAATGCATCCTAAGTTGTTCTGTCAAATGTTTGCTTTCTTATTTTACTAAAAATGAAATGGAAGTTGCAGCATTGTTCTGTTGTGGTTCCATACCTATATGGTTAGTTATATCCGTTATAGGTGTGCTGTCAAAGATAGTCAGTCAAGTGGTGCTGAGATTTTTCAATCGTTTTATTTTTGCTAATGTCTTTAAGAAGATAGACTTTTCATTGGGGCGAAAGTTTAAGCAGAAAAAAAGTCAATTCCCACTATTTACAGGGGATATATTATGGAACACCTTAAATGGCAAAAAACCCATATTTGAAAATGGTAGTCAATTGGATAGGTTCAAAATGTTTGATTCTTGTTTTTAACCATGCAGTACAAGCTAAAATTCAAAAATTCACAGATAGCAATTATTTTTATGAAGTATTAAAAGAAGGAACAAAAGTTAGTTGGAGCTTTACTAATTTAGGATGGCTCGTGTTCACCTTCAGTTGCACTGTTTCCTCCTTCTGTAAAAACACTACCTGAGACTAGCAGAAAATAGCTACTGTTGGAGCAAGCCATTTCCAAAAAGAAGTGCCCACACATGCCTATTCTTGAAGTGGTGTCAATATTACAAGGGGCAAACAAAGTCCGATTAATCACAAAAGTGAACCGATGATCTGTTTTTTTTGCTGATGAATTTTTAATGAGGTCAATTCAAAATCCCTCATGCCTATAACATGGCAGTTGAAGCATTTGAAGCACGCACTTTGCAATTCTAGAAAAACTGTGCAGTTCGTGGTATCCATTTCCATGTTTTTTCTTGGTGCATTTTGATTTTTTGACACGTTTGACTCCTTAAAAATGGATAAGGGAACATTGAAGCTGTAATTGGTGACATGATACGTAAAATGCTTTACACAGTAAGCAAATTCATGATTGACAATTCAATTTTACTGGATTTCAATTGAACATACTTCAAAATTTTAGGTGTGCTTCAAAAAGTTAAGAATTAACAATTTAAGAAAACGTCAAGTACAGAACTTGGTTAAAATTTGTAGTAGTTCTAAAAATATTTTCCTCTTTATTAATATTACTTTACTCTAATTGTAAAGTGGTAACAGTACTGCTATTAACACGTTTTCCGATCTTGAGGGAAAAATGTAAAGGACTGTTTTGATTCATTATTGTGAGTAGGTGACACAAGTTTCATTGTATTGTTATTATGACTCACCCCTTAACTGCTTAGACAGCACACCTATAATGGATATAACCAACCATATAGGTATGGAACCACAACAGAACAATGCTATAACTTGCATTTCATTTTTAGCAAAATAAGAAATCAAACATTTGACAGAACAACTTAGGATGCATCTCTATAAAGAGTAATTTTTAAATCATAATATAAATTCTAACCTGAATAATTCTCCGAACAAAAAAGTATGCTTTTATCTTATAAAATAAGTAGAGAGCTTTGAAGTGCAGCAAACTTTTTATTAACCAGCATGTATGTGACCAGGAGTGTGCCGGTGGATCAAATATTCTGGATAATCAAGAGGTACATGACTGCAATTAAACCTTGAGCAAACAGCTTCAAGACATCATTATCCCACAAAAATCTATGCCAAAATATCTACACACATCCTAAAATCAATGTGAAAACACGAAGTAATAAAAACACAATGCAGGTTGTGTCCACATCACTGTTATATGCTTTATTTATGGTGGTAGTGAGAAAAAGGGGGAGATGTTGGTTCACCTTCAATTGATGTTCATTCGGAACTGCTCCAGTTTCCTGATTAAAAAGAACCAGCAGTTCTGTAGCGCTGAGTTCAACAATATGAAGTCAAGATACTCTTTCCATTACAATGAACTTATTCACCAGAGAACTGAGATGTACAGCTAAACAGCTTGATGGGAAAGGAGTGGTGGTCATCCTCAAAAAGCAAGTGGGTCAACACCAGCTAGCAACATCCTGTGAAAAGATTACTATCAAGAATGGCCACACTACCCTAAACAGTTTGTGACACATCATCTGCAAGAACAAGTACTGAACAAGGACTTAGCATGGCTGCACTTCAACATGCCAGCACTGTTCTGAAGAGCCAGAAGCTGGTTGTGGTCAAGAAGAAATATACTTAGGCTACCAAGAGTGCGGAACCTTGTAGAAAAATGACATGGTTTATGATTAAAGCAATGGAAGATTTTGAGTTTTAAAAAAATACTCTGACATTGTGGTAGATTGTGGTATTTGACGTATATAATATTTGCCAGTTTATTAAGTGTGCCAGTTGGTAAGATGCCAGTTAAAACAGCGTTTGCTGTATTAACTTGTATGAGCATTTTAAAATTGTTTTATGTAGTATTATTTCAGTATTACTTCATATTCAAATTAAAACATTACTGTTTAAATTCAAGATTTGATAATCTGAGATTTTCTTCCTCTCTGAGCTTCAGTGAGGCTATGGATGTCTTTTGCTTCATATTTTGGCATATAATTTGGATTATAACATATGTGTACACTAATATTGAGTAAGGCTTTTCTTTAAAAGTAATGCGCATGAAGGTGGTGTTCCACATCAATTTGATTTATTGACATGAACACCATTGGATAATTCACTCATGCGTTGCTTTAAAAAAATAAATAGATACAAATAGTTGTTTAGTACTACAGAACTCAAGTATTCCTGACTTTTTAAGAAAAAACCATTTTCATTAAGATTTTTTGCCTTGCATTCATTAGGAGATTTTGCAAGAATAGAAATACAAGGAGAAAATCTAAGAGGAGTGTACTGCTCTCATGCAGTAGAAGTCTTGGTTTTCCCCATAAATTTGTATCCTTGTGAAATGTCTGATGCATGCAGGAACACATGAAACAGACTGGTAGCCTATAAACTTGATAGAATTACTAGCTACAAAGTGAGGGTATTGTACATGAACAGTGCCAATAGGGAAAAGTCTGTTATATTTGGAAAGGCAACAAATTAAAAGTTTATGAAGAAGTAAGTTTGCATAAGAATGAGAGTTCAATTTATCTTTTCTCCACTTGTAGGATTTCTATATAATGAGCAATTTTTTGACTCCAGGGGAAATAAAATATTCCAAAGATTTTTTTTTCCTCTTGCATTGACTACTGGGAAATCCTTGTGTTTCACAATTCTGTGGGCTTTATTTACTCATCACTGCTCCTAAGTGACTACTCGTGTGAACTTGTGCAACACTACTTGGTAATTTATTTGAAGGGAGTGCCTCATATTTTAAATATGAATATAGAATGGCAGTGAAATGCTGATGTACTGGCATATTTCACCCTCCCTAATCAAGGGAGCCAAGACCTGTTGTCTGGGCTGCTGTCACTTCACCTGAGATGAGCCATTTCAGTGCAGATGGATGCCTCGAGATGATTGTCTCTGCTTCTAGGCTCAACTTCTTGCGGTCTTACCCAAAGAAGTCTTTGTGTTATGCTTCACTGGTGTAGCATGCTGGAAATCAAGTCCTTCTATTCCTAGAATTGTCTCAAAAAATTAAAGATTTTCCAGAAGTATGTAAAATTACCCAAAGTACCTGTCTTTTATTCCCAAATTGAAAGACAGTATGCAACAGGTGCCTGAACTTAATAATTACTACTACTACTTTTGGAAATGAATTGATGCTAGTTACAGATAAACAATCATGAACTTCCAACATCGAGGTAAAACTCTAACCCCTTAACTTTCCCTACATACTTACAGGTGGACACAAGAATAAATACATGAATGTCATTGGCAGATGGAAAGACTGGGAAGGTAGTTCCAGGGATTTTGTCCACAGAGTTAGCTGAGATGATTCTTTTCGCTTAACAGATCCTGCTGCTCCTCAGTGTTCCTTCTCCAGGTGTCTTCACTTGCTTGCAGGAGGCACAGGACAACTGATTTACACCTTTTAATATCTCTGACATTTTGGTCAAAAGCCATAATTTACAGCAACTGATGAGAAAAATAAATTGGTTTTCTTCAGGCTTGAATTTTTTTTACCTCAGAAAAAGGAAAGCATTGTCCATTTCAGAGGCCCAATGGCTTCTGATCCAAACATTCACGTCCACAACCTGTTCAGCTGCTTTGGAGCCACTGGCAGACTTTGTCATTGACAATCGGTCAGCATTCCCCAGACCAATCAGCTACTGGCCAAATTTTCATTTGTGCACACCCTTTGTTTCCAGTTCACTCGCAAATGGATGTCTCCCACTGTTTGAACAAATAGCTGGATAAACACACTTGCAATGAGTGACAGGTAACTTTCTTAAAATAAGTGGAGTAATCCTTTTTACAATGTTTGGAGTAACCACCTTTTGACTGATTACTACGCGCATATCTCTGTTTTGCAGCTGTACTTAGTGACCCCAGGTCCTATATATGCCTTGTAATCTGAAGTTTGAGCTCCTGTAACTAGTGCAACTCTTGCATCTCTGGTTGTACATGACCTGAGGCGAGAAATATCCAAAGGTTTTACATTTAATATAAATGTAAAACATTCATGAATTTATTTCTTGAAGAGTCTTATTTATCTTAAATGTACATTAATTCCTCACTTAAGGATATTTGCAGATATATTGTTGGCCCTTATTTCAAGGGGATTGGAATACAAGAATAAGGACGTCTTAATATAACTGTACAAGGTGCTGATGAGACAGCATTTGGAGTACAGTGAGTGTTTTGGTCCCCTTATTAAAATAAGATCATAGGCAATTTAAAAATGTTAAATCATGCAAACAACCAAAATACAGCAAAAGCAGTGATCATTGTGAGCAAATTCAACTGTGGAAGGAGAGCTTACACTAGATTAAATACAGTTCCTATTCGCAAAAATGTGGAGGCAATTAATATGCTATACATGAGAGTCAGTGAATTAATTGTACACTCAATTTGCACAGTGGTGTATTTGCTAAAAATATATTAAAAAAACCATATAAGAAATAGGAATAGGTGAAAGCCATTCAGCCACTCAAGCCTGCTCTGCTATTAACTAGGAACATGACTGATCCGATATTCCTCATGTCCACTTATGTGCCCTTTACATATCACCTTTGATTCCCCTTAATTCATTCTTTCTTTCATGGGATGTGGATATCACTGCTAAGGTCAGCAATTATTGCCCATCTTTAAATTGCCGTTTGATCTGAGTGGCTTCCTGGCCCATTTCTGAGGGCGCTTAAGAGTCCACCACTGTGGACCTGAAGATGCATGTGGACAGGACCAGAAAAGGGTGGCAGATTTTATACCTTAAAGGTGGATGATGAAATTAAATAGCAAGCTTTCTCCTGTCATACTTGTTAATTTATTTGCTGGTTGATGGGTAATGAAAATGGGTACGTTTTCTCTTCTATTTGCCTGAAGAATCGTGCATGACAATGAGTATCTGAGGAGGAACAAAATATTGAAAAATATCAAAAATATTTACTGGAATGGTTTTGTATTTCAGGCAATAGCTCTGCCTCCAATTGCTAAGTGGCCCTATCAGAATGGCTTCACTTTTCACACATGGCTTCGAATGGATCCTTTGAACAATATCAATGTAGATAAAGACAAGCCTTACTTGTATTGGTAAGTGTTTTGAGGTTTTTTTTTGGTATTCTGAAGGTGTTCTTTTGTCTTCTCTTTCCTTAATTCACACCTATTATAAGTATCTGGTGAATCTGGACGTTCCATGTACAACTGTCAGTACTATTGCTTGATCAGTTAATGAAATCTGTAATATGATCCTGCAAATTTGCTTGCTTCTTTTCCTGCCCATATACAAAATGGAATGCTTTTCTGCCCACTGCTTGACTTAGGCTGTAGTGAGAACTGTTAAAACATGACTGATGAGAAATGAGAAGTGGCCATGATGTTGAAAAATAAATTTCAAATTTTTGTAACTGTTTTGACAGTAACTGTAAAGTGAAGGTAATTGTAAGTATATACTTTTGGTGGCTTGGCTAACTTTGTAAGATCAGAAGTCATAATCTGTGATTTCTTACTCATTAAAAATCTATTTCAGCCATGAATATACTAATGACCCAGCTGTGATAACGCTCTCCAATAAATAATTCCACAGATTGATTTCTGAGAGAAAAAGTTCCTCCTCGTTTCTCTGACTTAAGTTGGTGGCCCCATGCTCTGAGATTCTGCCCACTGGTCCTAGAATGTCCCTCCATGGGAAATTTCCTCTCTGCATCTATCCTCTGAAGCACCCTAAGGATCTTATGTTTTTTAAATAAGATCTTCTTTCATCCTTTTAAACTCCAATGAACACAGGTCCAAGCTACTTAACCTCTCCCAAACACGGAAATGACCTAGTGAACCTTCTTTAGGCTGTCTCCAATACCAGTATATCTCCCCTTCAGTAAGGGAACCAAAACTGTTCATGGTATTCCAGGTGTGGCCTGACTGGTATCTTGTACAATATGCCTAGATCTCCCTAGATTTATACTGTATTCCCATTGGAATAAAGGCTAATGTTTTATTTGTCTTGCCTGTTGCCCACTAATTTTATATGCTAGCCTTTGGCAATTCATGCATGAGAATCCCCAAATCCTTCCTTCTGTGCTGCAACTTTCTATTGTCTTCCCCATTTAAATAATGTTCAGCTCTTGTATTCAAATTGCCAAAATGCATATTATCATATTTCCACATTTATATTTCATCTGCCAAGTTTTTGCACACTCTCACTTAACCTGTTCCATATATATCCCTCTGTAGACTCGTGACTTGCCTTCCCACTTTTCTGTCATCTGCATACGTGGCATCAGTGCATTCACATCCCCCATCCACGTCACTAATGTACATTGAATATTGTTACGTCCCCAATATTGATCCCTATAGCACTCCACTAGTCACATGTTGCCATCCTGAAAATGTTCCCTTTTTCCCAATGCTCTGTCTTTTAGTAGTTAGCAATCTTCAATTCATGCCAACATACTATCCTCAAAACATGGGCTTTTAAGTAGCCTATTGTGTGGTACCTTATCAAACACCTTGTTGAGAAGCAACAACGCATATATCCAGATTACTTAAATGCTAATAGTTGATGTTAATGGAACAAACATCAGTTCTGGCTGAAGCAGAATCATGCAGATATGATACCGATACTTGTTTGGGGGCATGGGAAATACCAAAATGGAGGACAGAGCTCTTGGAGTGATATTATTGAATTCAATGTTGTGTTCAGAAGGCTGCAGAAAGTGAGATGTTCCTCCTCCTTTTGTTTTGTTTTGCATTTGATGGGAACACTGCAGTAGGCCTAGGAGAGAAATCCTTACCTAGGAAGGAAAGTCTGGCTGTGGAGGGAGTGCACTGAATGTTTACCAGACTGGGATGGCAGTATAGACGTTTGACAAAAGCCTGGTTTGGTTAGGAGTATATTCACTGGAATTTTGAAGAATTAGTGGAGGGGAGCTCATAGAAACAAAGTTCTAGCAGGATTAGACAGGATAAACCACAAGATGATGATCCTGATGACCAGGGTGTCCAGAACCAGTGCTCACAGTCTTAAGGATATGGGGTGGGCCATTTAGCATTGAGTTGCTCACCCAGTGAATGCTGAGCCTGTGAAACTGTTTGCCAGTGAAAGTGGTTGAGGCCAAAACATTGAATGTTTTCAAGAGAGATGTGGATACAGTTCTCAGAGCTAAAGGGGTTAAGGAATATGAGGAGAAAGCAGGAACAGGATACTGAGTTGGATAATTAGCATTGGTCAAGTTGAATGGCAGAACAGGCTCAAAGGGTGGAATGGCCTATTCCTATTTTGTATGTTTCTAAATGTGAGTATGAGAACAAAATGGTGCATTGACAACTTAAGTGGCTGGAAGGTCGGAGCTGTGCTTGTGCCTGGGCGGAAGTATTCTGCAAAGCAGTCATCCAGTCTTCATTTGGTTCCCCAGTATAGAAAAAACAGCAGTGTGAACAGCGAATAGGGTAGACTAGATTTAAAGAGGTTCAAATAGCTTGACGCTTCACTTAGAGCGAATGTTTAGGACCTTGGGCAGTGAGGAAGGAATGAAGGATAAAAGAGCAAGTGCTATACCTCCACTGATTGCAAAAGAAGGTGCTTTGGAAGGGGAATGAGATATTGGGGATTATAGTGGAACAGATCATGATGTGGAGGGAAAGGTTCCTTTTGGAATACTGACAGGGAAAGAGGAGAAAATGTGTTTAATGGTGACATCATGCTGGAGGTGGTGGAAATGGCAGAGGATGATTCTTTAAATACGGAGAGAGGTGGACTGTGGGTTGAAGGAGAAGGCAGGAAGTACCTTGTGGTTCTGGGAAGGAGAGGAATGAATAAGTACTTCATGCCAAAACTGTGAAGGTGGAGTTGAAATGTATTTTGTGTAATTTGAGAAAGACTGAAAGTTGCAATGGTCTGAGAAAAGTAAGGAAGCCTTTATTGCAAAGTTAGAAGTTACTCATCATTTTCAGATGTGCAATCTATTGATTAAAACTGTGAAGAATCCTGTTCTGAATGCATGAGTTAGTCTGGGTGTGCTCTGTCAAAGTTTAGAAATTTAGGAAGGAACAGAATCGGACTTTTGTGAAATTTGTTAGAGAAATTGAAATAATGTTTGGTGGGTTGCATCAAATTATGAAGATGAAAGATTTTGAAAACTTCAGATGTTGCTAATGGATGAAGTTAAAAATAGTGCTGCTGAGTGCTTTTCTAGATGAGACCTTATTCAAGTTTCTTCAATAAAGGTCACTGCAATTCTGCCTGATGACTGTGGCTCACGTAACAAATGTGTGTGAAACAGCAAACCACTCTCTTTGCAAACTCTCATTGTAACTGGAAAGAGGACTAATAATGAAATGAATACTGGTTACAGTCAGTAGAGTAGAAAAAAATGAAAGGATAAGTGCTAATAATGTCACGTAAGTAAATGGGCTTGAGAAAGAATGAATGTGAATCATGAGAACTAATATGTTTTTGTCATAAAGAATATTTGCAGACTGATTGTTATAAGTCAAGTTACTTGTGAGTGTGTACAGTGTGACTGCAGAAAATAGTGTACCAGTAGGTGGCACTTACGACAAACTAACAATTTTGGTCTTTTCCTTTAGCAAATACATTTAAAGTATAAGTAATTGTACATATTTCATGTTTGAGAATGAATTCTCCATGTTTTTCTGTTGAAGCGTGATAACTAATTAGTATTCCTAGATACGTAGGGTCAGCTCAATCTCTGGTGATATGTGATATGTGATATGCTTTAGGAATGTATTGATGTAAGTACGTAGATCATAAATTAGAATATAATTTTCCAGTTTTACGAATTAAACTCATGACTGTAGATAAACGGGATTGAGGGAGGCATCTGTTTGAGAAATGGATGAGCAACACTGAAGTAAAGGTAAGGTTGCCATAATCCTAGAGGACTCCATTTATATTCTTACTATCTAAATAATGTGCAACCACCTTATCTTGTCAGAATGTACTGTTTCACATTAATCCATGTTGCAATTCATTTGACACTTGAATGCCCATTTTTGAAGCTTATTAATGGACTGTGAGTATTTCAGCCCCCATTGTTGTCAAGTGAAACCAAATCCTCCCCACCACCATGCGCATGGCACCCCACTCCAAGTTGGCTGTCATTTGCAATGTAGATGTTGACTTTTGATCTAAAATCTAGATCGTTGATATTAGTTTGAAAAATAGTGGTGCAATCCTAATTCTAATGGAAATAGTGCATTTACGCTGATCCCTTTACTCTGCTTTCTACCTTGAGACCAACTAACTATTCATTCTGCTACTTATGCTCTCATGCTACATTTTCTGTCCTTATTCATTAACCTGTTATGTTGTACTTTATCAGAGGTAAGTATTTAGGGCTAGTAATTAGTACTGCTTTCTTCCACTTTTTAAAAAGTAGGATGAAATATGAAATATTACTGGTAATGGGTCATTTCATCAAGGTACGCAACTACATTAAATGTTCAATGATTCTAGCAAAATTGGCTTAGGATCAAGATAATTGGGTTTTCCGGTGCGTCATGAAAGTACTCAAAAATAAAAAGGGCGGCATGGTAGTTCAGTGCATAGCACTGCTGCCTGATAGCACCAGGGACCTGGGTTTGATTTCACCCTCTGACAACTGTGTGGAATTTGCACGTTGTCCCCATGTCTGTGTGGATTTCCTCCAGGTGCTCTGGTTTCCTCCCACACTCCAAAGTCCAGAGATGTGCAGGTTAAGTAGATTGGCAATGCTAAATTGCCCATAGTTTACAGGGAAGTGCAGGCTAGGTGGATTAGCTGTGAAAAATGCAGGGTAATAGGGCTAGGTTAGTGGGGTGGGTCTGGGTGGTATGCTTTTCAGAGGGTCACTGTGGACTCAGTGGGTTGAATGGCCTGCTTCCACACTGTGAATATTCCATGATTCTATGAAAAATATGTCAAATATCATTTTTTAAGTTGGTGTTATACATTCATAGAGGTGTCCAGCACGCAAACAGGCGCTTTGGTCCAACTCATCCATGCTGACTGGTGTATCCTAAATTAATGCAGTCTCATTTGCCAGTATTTGACTTGTATCTGTATTCATGTACTGATCCAGATGCCTTTTAAATGT